CCCGCCCTCCCAGCCTGCTCCCTTTGCAAGGTCCTGCTTGCAAGGCTGGTCCTTGGCTGGCTCCTGGGGACTTGGGACTTGAACCGCTCCCTCCATTCGCTGGTAAGGGTGGGTCAGTGTGCCTACACTGTTTTCCAAACAAGGTGACAGGTAGGGGACACCTGCTTTCTTCCCTCAAGTCTCGAATTTCAGCAGCCTAGAGCGCCTTCATGACCAGCCCCAGGTAGAATAGTCAGAGGCTGAGGCTCTGAAGGGTGCCCTGGGTGGACAAATCACACATGTGTTACTGTATTTTTGTTTCTGGGGGAAGGAGAACTCAGAGTGTGGCCCTCACAGGAGGGAGGGAGCATCAGAAGCCTGTGCCCAGACTTCCCCAGACTCCGCCTGTCTCTTTCTCCTGCTGATCCTTCCAATGTTAAACCTTAGCCGTGAGTACAACTATAAGCTGAGTGGCATGGATCCTTCTAGTGAATCACCAAACATGGTGGTGGTCTTGGGGAATATGCCTTGCACACAGAAGTTTCCAGCAATTTCTCCTGCTGATCTCAGTGGTTACACTAACACGAGACAAATTAGGGGCTCTGAGGCTCCAAAGGGGATGGGGGCACCTCTGTGAAGAAAGGAAGGCACCTCTTCCCTCCCGAAGAGCCCCCACAGCATTGGCCAGGGCCACATGGGGCTCCGGGGCCCCACCCACCACGGTGCTGCCTTTTCCCCAGCCCTCCACAGGGCAGCCCAGCCCAGTGCGGCTCAGGCCTTGCCTCATTGCAAAATAACTGGGGAAGATAAAACCATGGGCCTCTCTGCCCAAGAAGGGCACAAAGATGGCATGGCTGGGCTGTCATGAAGGAGGAAGAAGGTTCGGTGACCTGGTGACCCTCTCCTCTGCCTTCTCCGTGTTTCTCATTCAGGGACCGGCTTTCGAAAGTTTTCACTACCTATCAACAGCAAGCAGGGATCCAGGCTGTGTGTCTTGAGTTCTGTGTTTCTGATAGGCTCCAAACCTCCCACGGAGGGGTGGGGGAACGTTGGATCTTACGTGACATCAAATACCTGTCTTACTGGTCTCCAACACAAGAGCATCTGGCTTGCCAACTTCCTAGACTGTGTTTTCGTTTCCAGATCCGGCTCACAGCATGTTTAAATGGATCTTAAATCCCTTACTCGCTTATCACTGCTACCAATTTCTAAGGCTGCCTGCTGAACGATGCAGGGACTTTGTATTCCTCAAGACACAGATGGATCCATCGCTCTAGGCCTATGGCCTGAGGGGGTCAAGGGCTGGAGAAAGGAAAGGAATCTCAGGCAGGTGAGGGAGGTGGGGGTTGTGGAGGAGTGGGGTGGGGTATGTGGTGTGTATTGTGGGGGATGAGTGGGGAGTGCAGGGGCTGTGAGATATGTGTGTGGGCTACGTGAGGGTATATGGGATGTACGGGGTGGGGGACATATGGAGGGTTGGGGTGTGCATGTGGAGGGATGGGGGTACAGGAGTATGTGTGGGGTATAGGAGTATGTGTCGGGCGTAGGAGTATGTGTGGGGTATGTAGGCGTGTGTAGAGTATGGGGAAGGGAGAATGTGCGGAGACAGGATATAGGGGCCCATGGGGTATGTGGGGGTGAGGCATGCAGGCACAAGGGTGAGTGAGGGTGCTGGGGGGAAGGGTAGAGGATGTGCAGGGGTGAGGGGTGGGAAGGGAGTCAGCAGGGGCATGGGGAGATGAGTCTGTGTGTATTCATCCCAAAGCGGGCCGGGGAGGGAATGAAAAGATGGGATAAATGAGAACAGATACCCTTCCTTCCCCCCCCAGGGTCTGCCATCACCCCAGCCAGGCCAGCTAAACAACCAAACCGAGCACCTGCACCAGGCCTGAAGGAGACTAGCCAGAAGCTAGAAACCACACAGGGACTAAAGGAGGCTTAATAACTTAATAACCCTTCCTACTCCCTTCACACCGGGAGGGGAGTAGCTGCAGACACCTGCCCTCCTGGCCTGGTAGGGAGAGCAGCAGAAGAAAACAGGACAGAGAACAAACATCCCCTACAACCTGGAGGTGTGGCCAGTGGCATGAAAGAAGGAGTCTGCAACCCGGCCAAGGTTGTGGTTTTCCAGCTTGCTAAAAGTACCCCCCAGCCCGCCCCCAAACCTCAGAACCGAAGCAAAGCAACTCACCTGTCCGCTAGAGAATACGAACACGAGAGCTGCCCCGGCTGCCGTCAGCCCCCATGTGAATAAAGTCCCCAGCAGCGCCTGGAGCACAGAGCTTTGGCCTTGGAGCATGCTGGATACGGCTGTGTGCAGAAGAACAGGAGAGGGTCAGCCACCCGCAGTCCCTTTCAGGGACGCCCACATGCGCTAAGGGGTCCTAACACCCTCCACCTGGGCTGGCCTGTAATCTGGGTCGGTGCGATGCACCTTTCGGCCACGCCATCCCTCCACGGAGTCAGGCCGAGCCTCTCCATCCAGGCCCACCACATGTCAGAAACCATCCAACCCTGAAAGGACAGACCTGGGGCTACCTGGGGAGATGCCAGGGGAGCCCACGGAAGAGGTTAGGACATTGGGACAGAGTTCCAAAGAGAAGCTCACAGAATGTGGATTATTTAGCTGGGAGGAAGAGAGCACAGGAGGGTCTGATTACAGCCTTCCAGCACATTCTGCCTACTCTTATCTGCCCTTGTCCATCATTTGTTCTCTCTCCTCTGAATACAGGTGACTAACTCAGATTCTCCCTTGAACCTCTCCCTCCTAAGTCCTGACCAAACCTTCAATGGCTCCCCACGGAGGCTCCCGTGGCAGCCCCCCTGTGACTTGCCAAGGGCATACGCCCCAACTGCTGTCCAACTAGCCCGTCGACTCTTCAACCACTACCCCCTGTGTGGGCCCTGCACTCTGGCTCAGCTGAGTCATTGATGACACCCTCAACAAGTCCCAGATGGTCCCGGCTCCAAGTCACTCTTCATCCAGTTCCCTCCCAGAATGCCTTCGTCCTTCCTTCTCTGCCGCCAGCTGACCCAGGGCAGATTCTGCTGCCCACCTGATGCCAGTGTGGACTCCATGCTTTCCAGAGCCCCCTCCACTCCCATCCCAGTGCCCATCTGCGGTGCTTCTTTGTGCAGGCTTGCCTCCTTCATCTTTGATATCGTTAGCTGAAGAACAGGGACAGTGCCTTCTCACACTTGGCACCCCTGTAAAATCGGGCTTCCTGGCATCTGAAAAATACCTGTTGTATCAAAAAGAGCCAGCTTACCTTGATAGGACACTCAGCAAGGACAAGGAGATAGAGCTCTAAGTGGCATTTCCCTGTCAACTGAGCACACCACTGCTGAAATGGAACTTCTACCACTGCCCACCAAGGAGAGAAAGGGAAGTACCGTTTCCTCTTGGTTTTGCTCAGAGAACCTCCTCTGGGCTTTAGCACATTTGAAATTCTAGCTCTGAAATGACAGGGGATCAGACTCTTGCTGTGGAAAGTTACAGGGCAGAGAAACCCATTTGTTGAAAAGCCCTGTGTACACAAACATCAGGGCTCAGAGCCTCATCTCAAAGGGCTCATTCAGCTGCCCACTGGTCTTCCAGCACCCACAGAGCTGGACATGACCCAGTGGGCTCAGACCTGCCACGTACCAGCACTCTGTGAGCAACCAGCAACCCTGGGCTTGCAGCTCAAGAGCTAGAGACGCTGACTCTGTTAACCCTATAAGAAAATTGTGGCAGAGGGTGGACGGGGCCCTTATGCCAAGGGGCTCGGCAGCACAGCTAGGATTGTAACCTGGTAAGGCTGTGAGTCTCTGCAAACCCAGGTGAGCCCAGGTGAGCCCAGGCTCAGCTCCGAAGCCAGGACGCCTCTAGGAGAAACAGCATCTATGGATTCGGACTGTGTCTGAATAAAACTCAGGACGGTGACTGTACCAAATAAAGAAAAAATACCGTATTTTTTAAAAGCCCGCCTATCTACATACTTCATCTTGTTAAGTGTCACCGTAAAATGAGTGGTTCATGTTTGTTTGTAAACCAAGACATCTGGATCATGACACCACCCTTCTATTTCTAGCTGCTTGTGGATAAAATCTGAAACAGCATTTACAAAGGCCTATAGCTATCATCCTCTTAGTACTTATCATCTGAGACAGGTCAAAAAAGAAAAACAACCTTTTTTTTTTTCAGTATTGAATGTGCCTTTCAACAGCTAAGAAAACAGAAAAGAGGAAGCCATTTCCATTTGCCAACAGGCCAAAGTCAACGTGGGGTTTATGGGCCAGCCAACAAGAGAGCTCTGGGTGTTCCTGGGGGCTAGTGAGAGGGAAAGCACTATCCTAGCCTGTCTCCATTTACCTGAGCACCCGAGACATAAGGAAAAGGGACAGTGAGGCCATGCACATCCTTTCCATCCCAAGAGTCACAGTATTTACCAATGATAATGCCAGCCCAGTGCCCCCAGGAGAAGTTTCTTCCATTTGCTATTTTAAATCCTCACTCCTGGAAGGGTGACCTGAGCTGGTCCCACCTTGGGAAATGCAGGCTCTCAGGCTGAATCAGAATCTGCATTTTTTTCAAGTTCCGTGAGGGATTCTCACACGCGTTGCAGTGCAAAGCACTAGTCTACGACAGAGACCCAGAGCTTTGAAAGTGAGTTCTCCTGCCCTACGAGGGAGGGACTGGCCAGGCTGACGCAGAATCTCAAGAGAAGGAAACGTTTTCTCCAAAAGGTCGACCAGTAGCACCTGGAGGACAGGAGTGCCAGTCACAGCCCCTCAAAATCAGCTTCCACGATGGGGCTCAGACTTGCTTGTGAACCGGATGTTAACACATAAACCTTGATTAATTTGCAAGAGTGAGGATTATTCCCTGCCCTCCCCAACTTTAAAGATGCCAACACCACCCAACCTGTGTCCACATTCTGCTACGACCGCGGAGGAGGGGACCCTGACAGAGGATTTCTTGCTTTTCTCTCCTCTCAAACCTGTTGCCCTGCTTCCAAGAGCCTCAAGATGTTGGTGATGTTGCAGAGGTGGGAACAGCACCTAATAAAACTGCACACATACACGGCCCGACTCCACGAGGAGAATCCAGCAACGGGACTCGGGTTTGGGCCGAGGGGACTGTAGGAAAAGTTCTCTAATACCTCGCTGCTCAAAGTGCGGTCCGCGGACCACGGACCCAGGGAGGGGTTAGCAATGCACAAGCTCAGGCCTGCTGCATGGTCGCCAGATTTCCAGTCGAGTTCGAGAGGCCGTGCTGACCCCCAGAATGAGCGGGAGGGGACGCAGAAGGGCTGGAATTGTAGCCACCTCTGCTCCCGGGGCTCCGGGGGGCCCCCACATGCCCACGGGGATGCACTGAACAAAGAGGATTTGGTGAGCCACTGTCAAAGGAAGGTAGGTCAACACCCTCCATCTGACCCTGGCCAGAGGCAGAGGGGGCTCCGGGCGGCCTTGCCCTCCTCGGCCACCTGCCACAGCCGCCCTGCTTCTCCTCCGACCCCCTCCTCTACCCCCGGGGGCGCCCCCTTCCAAACTCCATTTCGCCCTTCCAAGTCCCACGCTCTCCTGCTGGCCCCAGACCCCGGGCCTCCAGCCCAACCAAGGCGCTGAAGGGAGAAAAAGCTGACTCACTACGGTGCCCTCTCAAGCCCCCACTCCACTTCCATCAGCCCCGCTGCCGCTGGCTCGGCCGGCTCCACTCCCGAAGTCACTTCCTGCTTCCCTCCCGGCACACGTGTCCCTCCAGCCACCAGGCCCCTCCCCGCCTGGCTGCGACTGGCAGATCCCGCCCGAAGAATAAATTCTCTGGTTCACAGCCCTCTGCAGGCTCGGGAACAGATGGGGCGGGTAGAACAGAGCCCGGAGGCCAAGCGGAGAACATTCTGCATGCCTAAGACTGCACAGTCTCCTATGAAGCCACAGAAATCCCGCAAAGAGCACCTTGTAACGTCCCTGACATCATTTATGTCACTACACTTAGCAGCTGAGTCCGAGGCCCTGAGTGAGCAGCAGAGCAGGATGTGTTGGGG